GGGCGCCTGCGCAGCTGCCGGGGAGCAGCCTTTCCCACCCCTCCCCCAACTCCCCGCGGGCTCGCAGCCCCGACCCAGTTCCCACTGCCCAGTCAGCAGGGCCCCAGGGGCTGCCCACAGGCCAAGAGACAGCCTGATCTCAAAGGTCTGTCACTAGCAGAGGCCGGAGACCCACCACCCCGGGGACGCCACCAGGCCAACGTCTCACCTAGGAGCACGCTGAGCAGCCAGCTGTAGAAGTACTGCGTCCTCCGGGAGTGCTGGCAGACGCTCACCACGCAGGCCGCCGCCGTCCGCCGCGTGGTCGGGGAGCTGGACTTCAGGTTCGTGATGAAAGCCTTCAGCAGAACCTGTGGCCACGAGCACCCATGGAGAGAAGAGGACGGCCCCTGAGGCTCACTGTGCCTTTCATAAACCTAATTCGCTCCAAATCCTCGCACAGCTAAGTCATCAACCACCCGAGACTCTCCCGGGCTGAACGGAAGCACCCAATTCGGGGAACCCCAAAGCAGCGCAACACAGGGACCGTCTAGCTCCGGCCAGCAGAGACCTGGAGGTGGCAGCCCTAGCTCCGGAGAAGCTGTACCCACAGTATTTGAGGACGGGGTCAAGACTGACACTGTGTAACATAAATGTGGTAAAAAAAAAAAATCGACAAATCACGAGGCCAAGGAGAAAAGAGCGTAGCCAGCTACAGCCACGTCGGGCCCAAGAGACGGCTCGAACACGTGCCGCCTGCGACGGTCACTAAGAGGCGCCCTTGGGCCTGGAGCACGGACAAGCAGGCTGGGCTGTGCAGCACATGCTCACTCTGTGCCAATTAGTCAGGGAGCGGGACGTCGCTGGACCTCGGAATAGCCCAGACGAGCTTCCCGGACAGCGTGGGGAGCCCACCCAGCACCCCAGGACCGTCGGCTCGGGAGCAGCGCCCTCTACACACACGTGGATACACCAGCCCTGTCAACTCTTCACCCACAAGAACAGCAAAAGGGCAGCGGTAGGAAGCTCTTCGTGTGCCTCGGAAGGTTCTAATGGAAATTACGGGCACGACACGCCCTGGCTGGGGAGTTCGTTGGTTGAAGTGTCATCCCAATACACCAAGGTTTCGAGCTCCATCCCCAGTCAGGGCACATTCGAGGATCAACCAATGAATGCAAAATGGGCGGAGCCACAAATGGGTGGAGACACAAATGTTTGGCGCGCGCGCTCTCCCTCTCCCTCTCTAAAATCAATCAATAAAAACTAAAAAATAAATTATAAGCACAACAGAACTTAAGTACTTTCAAATGACTGTCCCAAAGCCCTAACTCCCCACAGACTCATTCGCAGGTGTGTCTCATACCTTAATCTCATTGTCATTTGCAAAATTGCCGAGCGAAGCCATAATTTTGGGTATAGCTGCAGCCAAGGTCTCCTGAACAGACTCCTCAGGTCTCTTGCTTGTTCGCGTCAGGCAAGGCAGGAGGTTCACCAAGTAAGGCCTGCATGTGAGGAAGGAAGCCGGGTCACTCTACAGGTCCACTTTAGTAAGACACAACAACTAGCTTAGTGCCTGTGGGAGAACAACCAGTTTTATAGCAAAACAGTCCTCAGTGGAGAGGGGACAAACCTCCGCTAAAAGGACGGGAGGGCGAACTGCCCATGAAGTTCACACGCTGGCAGACGCTCTCCAAGGCAGTTAAAAATGATCTGCAGCCCAGCGGTGTGGCTCAGGGCAGAGCACCGACCTAGGAACCAGGAGGCCAGGGTTTGATTCCCGGTCAGGGCACAGGCTCGGGTTGTGGGCTGGATCCCCAGTGTGCGGCGTGCAGGAGGCAGCCAGTCCATGATTCTCTCTCCACACTGATGTTTCTCTCTCTCGTCCTCTCCCTCCCCCTCTGAAGTAAATTTAAAACATTTTTTTAAATAAAATAAATTGTCAGCCCTGACCAGTTTGGCTCAGTGGATAGAACGTCGGCCTATGGACTCAAGGGTCCTGGGTTCGATTCCGGTCAAGGGCATGAACCTTGGTTGCGGGCACATCCCCAGTAGGGAGTGTGCAGGAGGCAGCTGAATCGATGTTTCTCTCTCATCGATGTTTCTAACTCTCTATCCCTCTTCTCTCCTCTCTGTAAAAAAATCAATTAAATATATTTTTAAAAATAAATAAATAAAATAAATTTTCAAAATTATTTGCAGTAAATAATAAGTTATTACAACACTCATATTTTAAATTAGAAAATAAGAGATAATATAAGAAACACCACTTTAGGGCCAAAACCGGTTTGGCTCAGTGGATAGAGCGTCGGCCTGTGGACTGAAGGGTCCCGGGTTCAATTCCAGTCAAGGGCATGTACCTTGGATGCAGGCACATTCCCAGTGGGAGATGTGCAGGAGGCAGCTGATCGATGTTTTTCTCTCTCATCGATGTTTCTAACTCTCTATCTCTCTCCTTTCCTCTCTGTGAAAAATCAATAAAATATATTAAAAAAAAAAAAAATGAAACACCACTTTAGGAGTAGAGGAAGGTAAGGGGATAGATGGCGATACAAGGAGCCTTGACTTGGGGTGGACACACAATACACTGTACAGGCGATGTGCTGTGGAACTGTGCACCTGAAACCTGTATGATTTTGTTAACCAGAGTCACACCAATAAATTCTATCAAAAAGATTCAATTTTCTGAAAACACAAAATCTCCTAAGACAGCTCTGCTATTGCACAGCTTGCACCCAGCCTCTGCTCCGACGGGAGGGGCGGCACTGCCCACTTCCCCAGGGCACCGGACCCTCCAGCCTTGGGAGAGATCCGCCTCCACGGGCAACCAGCCCTGAAGCCTACCCGCCGCCCCGCCCCCCAGGGCTCAAGCCACACTTCTTCAATATGGCTGCCTTGTCCAAGCATCAAGAGAATGCCACTTACAGAAACATTAAGACAGACGATGAGGGAAATGAAGGTTAAGGAATGAGAATGAAGCTTTCTTGGGAAAGCAGCATTACAGAAAGGGTCAGTGCTCAAGCTAAACAGGCCTCAGAGATAAGACCTGGCTCTAGAGAAAGCAGCTGCCCTGCGGACACGGGCGTCACAGGCTGGACAAGCCAGGACCTCAGGACCCTGTCAACCTTGGGGAACTCGGCAGCGCCCTCTAGTGCAGGGCCAGGCACCACGCCGTCTGCACCCAGGACCGCCTCAGAGAGCCTGGGCCCACATTTCTAAGGAGATAACTGTTTTTGCGAGTCCCAAGGGAAAAAAACAAACCAGCATCAAGAGGAAGAGAAATCTGACTTTGGAAGAAGTAACGTCAGGCCAATGAGTCAACAGCGAGTGTCTGGGGTGACGGGGCGCTGGGGCAGCTCTCCCGGGGCCCGGTAAGAAGCTGGATTTATCTGGACAGCTCGGGGGATGAGCCGAGAGTGCGAGTGAGGAAACAACTTGATCCGATCACAGTTTAAGGTCGCTTTGGTTGCTACGTGGAGAATATAACAAGCTTTTCAAAATAAAGCAGTAAAAGCAAAAGGTTAAATAAAGAGAAATTTCCTTAGCGCTGTATCTCTGTTAAACGCAAACGCCCTGGAATCAATCGTTGCTTCGGGGCCACTCCCGCGTTCCTCCCGGGGAGCCGAGGGTCTATGGAGGTTTTGCCAGTGAAGGAGACCAAGGTGGAGGTAACAGCTGTAGTCCTTCTTTTGTTTTTTAAAACAGAACTGTTTCATTAGTCAAACTATTCGCAGTTTAACGCCCACGGTTGAGTGCCCACATTGGTAACCCATGTCCTAGACACAGGCATGTATTTCCATAACTCCTACTGTAAGCAATGGGGTTGGACTTCACCTCCAACCACGTGCCAAGTCCCTTTCCTGCAGCTGCCGCGCGCGGACACTGTTGTCAGCACAGGACAGGGGAGGACCCTGGTGTCCGGGGCGCCCACCTCCTACGGGCCTTGGGGGAGGGGAGGCGGAAATGAACAAGCTCACGGAGGGAGTGTGCAGGAATATTTCTGGGAGAATAGTGCTATGAGGAAAAAACCAGGACAACATCAACCACAACACAGTGCACGGGACGGCCTCAGGAAGCGACCTGTGAGCTGAGATGTGAAGAAGGCGCAGGAGCTGGCCTCCACCGAAATATCAACAACAATGACGACGACGACGACGACGACGACGACGACGACGACGACGACGCAGAGCATAGGACGTACCTGCATTTCTGGGGCCGGACCAGGTGCGCCAGCTCGGCGAACCTCCACAGGGCAGCACGCAGGCTCCGGGGAGCGCCGTTCTGCGTGGATTAATGAGCGGAGTTACATTGTAGGGTCACGGACACACTAGTCACCAAGAGGGCTTCACATAACAAAAGCATTTTTTCATTGTTAACTTTTATTTTTAGAGAAAAGGTCATTTGAATATTTACTTTAGAAATTTTAAGGTCTAGTGAATTTAATTATAACAATATAAAAATTTAGTTACCATTTTAAATACCCAACTCATCTAATAAACTACGAAGAGCAGAAGAAAAGTGAAATTATGTCTACTACAGCAAACACCTCTCCCTTCTAACATTTTCACTTATTAAATGTAAGATGACATTTCCCAGAAACAGCTCACGGCAGCGAGGCGGCCGTGCTGGCGGCGGAACAAGGCGCACCTTCTTGATTTCCTTGTAGAGCTCGAGCTGCAGCCTCGGGAGGTTAGAATCCATCAGCGCCTGCAACACAACCAGAGCTCGGCTCAGGCAGACAGCCCGCCAGCAGCTCTGAGCAAGCTGAGGCTGCTTACACCTCAGTCACGGGCAAACGCTAACAGCAACTAAACGAAGAACCTATTCATTGAGGAAAAAGCACATATATGCACAGGTGACTCACTTGAATGAAAATGGAAGAGAATTTAACTTTTATCACAATCAAGTACTACATAATATCAAAATGAAAGGGCAGATGGTTCAACAAACTCATTCTAAAGCTCTTATCTGAAACCCTGAACAGGCAGCGAGTGCAGAAAACCTCGGAAGTTCTGTCTTCGTTCAATGCACTCTGCCAGGTGACCAACACTAGTCTGCAAGGCCTCAGTCAGGGAGCCGCGGGCGGTGCACCTGCAAGGTCAGAGCCTCGCTCTGCCGTGGAACCCGCTCCCGGTGCAGACCCCGTCCTCCTCCAGGTCTGGCCCTCCCTTCATGTCCCGAGCCACGGGCCCCTCCCAGCCAGGGCCTGCTCCCCCTCCCAGGGCCCGCCTCCTTCCAGATGCCCTGCTCTCGCTCTGGGCGCTGGCCCCGGAATCCCAGCAGGGCCTTCCCCGCTCCCCCGCAGGCCGCCCTCGGCACTGGCTTCTCGTCCACAGGCTTCTCGTCCGGAATAAGGACTCCTCTGACGCGTCAGCCATCTGCCAGAGCCCTCTTCCTCCCCACGTAAAGCACAGCCTTCAGACTGACCTCAGCCCCCATTCTGGGCGGCACACACCGAGGCTGGCGCCAGTGTAAGGCGCCCGAGCCTCCTGCTTGCCCCCAGCCACACCTGCAGGAAGCCTCTCTGCCCCAACAGCGAGCGCCCGGCTGGGACTCAGGGCCTGCACTCTGTCCAAGCCGCCCCACACGGGACTGACGTGGCCTGAGGGCAGAGCACATGGCCAGGCTCGTCGGGTCCCCCGAGCACTTTCCTACGGAAATGAAGAGGGCAGTGTGCCCCCTCTTCCCGCAGGCCCGTGACCAGGACCCTGCGGAGAAGGAGCGGAGGCATCTGCTGTGCCAACGGGAGGAATAGCTTTGGAAAGTGTTGAGAACCATGTCGGAGCCCTTCCTCGTGCCGGTGAGTCCACAGGGGGAAAGTGTCTCAGTTTGGACACTTGCACACTCAAGGTGGCTAAAGGACAGCCACCCGGGTGGGTTGGGGAGGCGGGCAGAGGAGGCATAGGACAGTTTCCAGTGCATCAGGAATTAGGAAGAAGGGCGCTGGGCTGTGGCAGCAGGAAACCGAAAAGGCGACAGCAGGTTCTATGTCTGTGGCCTTGGCCACAAACTCCACATCAGGAGGCAATCTCGGAGGACAGGTGCCCCTTCTCTCTCCTGACCCTGTCAGCCAGGGCTTCCGCTTCTGGCTGACCTCCTGTCCTTGTGACCCCTCTGCCCAGCCAACCTGCTGCCACGTCACAGCCTGACCTGCAAGCAGCACTGCCCTGCCCAGACCCCCAGAGGGCAGAGAGAGGGGCGAAGGAGGGAGCTAGAGACACCACAGAGGAGTCCAGGGGCCTCATGGTCTTTCTGGAGGCGCCCCCAAAGGCGCACCCAGGAGTCACCATCAGCACCCGCCCCGCCCACCCCCTGCAGTGAGGGCAGACAGTCCTGCAGGCGGCAAGACGCGCCCCCCCACCCTGTGGTGCAGCCAGTGCGACAGCCGAGGGACTGTGCCGCTCCAAAGGCCGCCGGCAACGCCCAGCTCAGAGAACGCCGTCCCCAGGGCCCTTTTCTAAATGTATGTGATGAAGTTAGTGGGTGACCCGGGTTAATAAATTCCGTAGGTGTCGGCTGCAGCTCTGTGTCATGGCGATGCTGGCCCGGGCTTCCCACCTTGATGACCTTGTTGAGGCACTCGTCAGCCACCATCCTCACGTCCGACTCCGCGTCGTCGCTGCACAGCAGGAACAGCTCCATGGCGATGCCCAGCAGCTTCTGGAACTCGGGAGAATTTCTAGGCGAAACAAAGAGAGAGGATGTCACAGCAACCGGAGCCTGAGAAGCCACGACAATCAAACGTCACGTGGCGTCTGGTGTCCTGTCCGGGACACTGAGCACGAAACGAAGGTCGTGCTGTCGCATGGACCCTAACTAGGAAACACGGCCACAGTGATGCCAGAGGCTCCGATGGGGAACCGGATGTGGGTACTGGGAACTGTGCTAGCTCCGTAATTCTCCCATGAATTTAAAACTATTCTAAAATTTTAAAGTTTATTTACAAAAAAAGAGGTTGTGTTTGCAAGACAAATTTCATTTTTTAAAGTTTTAATTTAAACGTTTTTGAAAGACTCCTTTTTGTGTATTTTAACTCAATTTTTTAAAAAGACACTGCTTGAGCCTGGCTAGCCTGTTTGGCTCAGTGGACAGAGCATCAGCCTTTGGCCCAAAGGAAGCGAACCCGGTCAAGGGCACATACCTCGGTTGCAGGCTCCTCCCCAGCCCTGGCCCTGGCCCTGGCCAGAGCTCCTGCAGGAGGCAACCAAATGATGTGTTTCTCTCACAACGATGTTTCTCTCTGTCTTTCCCTGTCTCTTCCACTCTCCCCAAATAAAGGTCAGTGGGAAAAATGTCCTCAGGTGAGGATGAACAAACACAAAAACCACACAAATGACCCTGCTTGAAACACTGGAACCCCAGCCAGCCATCCGCTCTGTGCCACAGGTGACTCTGACTTGCAGCGTTCTTCTTTGTAATCCTCGCTCGCCCCGGAACACGCTCAGGGAAGCGAGAGGAAGGGCGGGGTGGGGGAG